CATCGGTGCTCGTAACCTGATTCGCAACGTTTATCACAAATGTGTTAAATGCATATGTTTGAATCGAAATCTTGCTATGCAATCGATGGGAGATCTACCCGCTTCCAGAACCAACTACGCTCGTTGTTTCACTCGCACTGCGGTGGACTTCGCTGGTCCATACATGTACAAGTTTACACACGGCAGAGGAGCGAAGTCTACTAAGGGTTATATTTGTTCATTTGTGTGTATGTGCACTGGCGCTATGCACTTGTAATTGGTTGGTGACTTGTCAGCGCCAGCATTCCTTAACGCCTTTAAAAGATTCGTTAACCGCAGAGGATATTGCAAGGTAATGTTCTCGGACAACGGCACAAATTTTGTCGGCGCTGAAAAGGTTCTCCGCAATAATTTTCAACAATGCATGTCACATGAGAGACTTCGTACATTTTTTGCTGATTCGAACATCGAGTGGCGTTTCAATCCCTCGACCGCACCCCATATGGGAGGATACTGGGAGACAGGTATTAAGCGCGTAAAATATCACTTGAAACGTGTTTTGGCCGAAACTTTGTTATCATATGAAGAGTTCAGTATGCTACTGACAGAAGTGGAAGCCTGTGTTAACTCCCGCCCGCTATTTGAGAGCTCGACAACTGCAGGAGATCTCGAAGTTCTAACTCCTGGGCACTTCATAATTGGTGAACCGCTGAAGTCGATCCCAGAGCCGGAGGGTCAAGGGTTCTGGGGTAATCTTCATCAACGATGGCAAGCAATATCGACGATCAGGCAACATTTCTGGCGACGTTGGAGAGATGAATATCTGACAAGTTTACAGCGTCGATCAAAATGGTTTCGACCTACACGTAACTTTAAAGAAGGGGACGTGGTTGCTGTATTCAGTGAGAATACTCCTCCGACGAAACGGGTACTTGCTAGAGTCATCAAATGCCACCCTGGAGCTGACGGACGTGTGAGAGTGGTCACTTTGAAGACACCAAACGGGGAACTAGCTCGACCGATTGTCAAACTGTGCCTTTTGCCGACGAAAGGCGACTTGTTCTACGAAGAAGACTCATAGACTGCGTATGTAGATATGTGTGCGACAGCGCGTTAACCTAAGTATTTTGTATTGTTTGCTAATTTGCTTAATTTCGCCATACTATAATTGTGATTTCTGTATTGAACCTATCAGGATAGTTAAAGGGCGGCGGTATGTTGGGTTCGCTTACGCTAATTGTCAAGTTGTAATATGTATATCATAAACATAAAGGTTAACGCACTAATGTTTACAAGGGTTAACTTTGCGACTCCAAACAAGAGTTAATACCAATTGATATTTGACATTTTGACTATTCTTTCTCTTCCTTTTTCGTTTTGCTTTGATATAGCTAGCTATTTTTTTGAGTTCTGGTATTTTCGCTCGCTCAAGTTCTGGTTGGGTTTTTACGGCCGCTTTATTCTTTTTCGCTTCGATCTCCCGCTTTTTATACGCGTTTAACCGCCTTAAATAATTCCGCATAAATACCTATGTATCAAACCTATTAAGTTAAGTAAATCCTAACTGAAACTGAATTCCGAAGAAACCGCTCTTTTACTTAATCCGCATTGGGCGCTTAGTTTTGGTGCAACTATATATACGCAAGGAATCCGCCGCAACATCAATAGATGAGTATAACAAATAAAATACGTACATAAAAAAGAAGCAAATTCTGTGGGGATTTTATAAAACAACTTATCGGACTTTGCACCTTTTTCTTGTTTTTTGGGGGGCCATCCTAGTAAAACATGTTTTGAAACTTAAAGTTTTTCTTAAAAAGATTAAGTACCATTCTTCTAAAATCAAAAATGATCGTCACATAAGTTATTTTCACAAAAATTCATAGATATGTGATAGCGCTTTTTTAATTATTAATTAATTCTTATATATTCATGTACAAATATCGATATAAGTAGGTATCGATACTTTCTTTCGATGCTACTTCCAAGTACAGGTATCGATACTTCGATGGTATCGTTTTATCCCTAACGAAAACTGTATAAATCCGAGATTAAATCTTTATGCAACATTAAAAAAAACAGAAAATTTTCATGAAAATGTCGAGCTTTTTATTAAAATTTTTGTGAAATATTTTGAGTATGTAGTTTTGTACAGCATTCAATTTTATTATATGTAATAACCTAAACTGGTTTAAAGTAGCTGGGATTTACTATTGATTTTCGGCAATATTTTTAACGATGTCAGTCATTTTCTTCCATATGAAGTATGTTTGACGATTTTTTTATATGGAGAAAATGATTAACACCTTCAACAAAAAAATTAAAAAAATCAACGGTAAGTCGTAGCTACTTTAAACTTGCACTTTGTTGCATTAAAATTGAATGGGCTGCAAAACTGTATACTTAATATATTTATAGGATATTTAATTAAAAAGCTTGAAATATTTAGAAAAGTTTGTTGATTTTTTTAATGTTGCACAAATATTGGATCTTGGATTTATACGGTTTTGGTTAAAGTATAAACTTTTTTATAAACAAATAATTAAAATTAAATAATATTTAGATATATAGTCAAATCTCTTTAATATGTGGGTGTCATAAAATATATTTATATTATATTACTATAGCTAGGAATATTGCCATAATATTAAAATTACTAATGAAATGCTATGTCCGGTTTTAGTATCGAATTCAAAGAAGATGCTTCATTTTTCCAATAATAATGGCTTAAAACTGCGTTTTGTTAAGAACTGTACCTGAAAATGTGTGCATACATATTTATGATTATGTTAGTCAATTTGTAAAGGTGTAAAATATGTAAATGTATGTACATAAACAAGTAAACTTTCTCATACCATCAAATCATTGGTATATGTTCAAAAGTCGATAAAATTTACAGTCAAAAGTACAGAGATTTCGTAGTAAAGGAACAATTTAATTTCCCAACACTGAGATGAAATGTAAGCACACCTGTCATATTAGAAAATAGATATTGCTCGGCTACATTATGGCGTGCAATCAAACTACAGCCTGGGCTTGTGTTGTGGATTGTGATCAGTTCATATGGTTTACACCATGATACAAAAAAGAAGGTAGTTCCATTTAATGACATTCGTTGTTGTTGCTAACCATTTGACTTTTATAATAAAATTATGACACTTCATCAAATTCATGATACCTGATCACTAGAAGAAATATATTTTTTTAAAGCAGAAGATTTTATCAGTACATTCAAAGATATGGATTATGATGGACTTGAAAATTATGCCGGCTACATAATTTCGAAAATGGGGTTGATGCCAGGTTTCAGAACGCATGAAGAAAGGGATCAAAATTATACTTACATATCGTCGTTTAAAGTACAAAACCGCGTATCGTCGTTCTGCAAAACCGCGTAACTGACATTTTTTGTCAAAGATTGGATTTGCTCACACAAGTGTTTTTACTCTCTGGAAAATAATTTATGCAACCTCGCGTACGCAGTTTTGCATTTTGTTGATACGTGGTTTTCAAGTTTTCTGTTCAAGCCGACTTCAGGTTTTTTGCATACATTAGAAACGTTAAGATCAAAATTTTTGAAAGCTAATTGTTTGCAAAATCTTATGAGAAATATAAAAGTATATGTGAACCAAAATATAAAAATGTTTTATTTGGGAAGAACATTCGTTAGAATTAGATTTTTAGATCGCAAGATTGCATTCAAAATAAGAAAACGAAAAAATAACAGCATAATGCGCGCGTGGTTTTTATTATAAAATAAAAGAACAATTACGATGAAGTCTTATTTAATAGTCTATATTTTATATATTTTTAATGAAAATAGTGCGAGTTGCGTAAGTAAAAAAAGCACTGATAATGGTTTTTGATTTTAAATATTATTACATTGGTATAAATATGGGAAGGAAAATACTCCGATTTATTGTTATAATATTATCAAAGTGGCAACGCCGATGATAATACTCACAATTTATGAGACTTCCAAAAATTTTATTATCCGTCAAAAGTTGTTTATTGAAACTACCTTCTTTTTTGTATCATGGTTTACACACATTTTATTTTGACAGGCTGCATGCCACACACCACAAGCCCTTTATGTGTTTACAGCTTTGGATGCTCCTAAAAGCATATGATGAAAAATCTGCGGGATGTATTTTCAACTTGCAGAAAATATAATTTGAAGTTACATCCTGATAAATGTTTATTTTTTAGTCAAGAAGTCACTTATCTTGGACATAAATGCGCAAGCAAAGGAATTTTGCCAGATCCAAATAAATTCGAAATTATTCAAAACTACCCAACTCCCAAAACTGCCGACGAAGTCAAACAATTTGTTGCATTCTGTAACTATTACCGAAGATTTGTACCAAATTTCGCAGAATACTCTAAAATTTTAACAAGACTTTGTAAAAAGAATGTATCCTTCAATTGAACAGAAGAATGTCAAAGAGCTTTTATTTATTTGAAAAAGCATTAACTTGTCCAATTATCCTACAATATCCGGACTTTTATAAAGAATTTTGTATCACAACAGACGCCAGCGGCTATGCCTGCGGCGCAGTACTTAGTCAAGAATATGAAGGCGAAAAGAAAGAAAAGGTGAAATTAATAAAGCAACAATTGAAAATTAATTGGCAGCAATTCACTGGGCCATTACATATTTTAGACCATAGGTTTATGGCAGAAATTTTTTAATTAAAACTGACTATCGACTTTTAACCTTCCTTTTTTCAATGAAAAACCTCCTCCAAATTAACTAGTTAGATTAGATTTGGAAGAATATGACTTTGAGGTGGAGTATATAGCTGGAAAAGTAAATTACGTAGAGTTGCACTATTGCGCATAGATATCAAAAATCTTAAGGATATGACAGTAGAAGCATGCAAAATAACGAAAGTTGCGAAAAGATCGGAAACTAAGCAAACAATCAGTAGTAATATTAACAAAGAAGAAAAGAAAAGTCACAATGAGATCCCTATAATATATGAAGCGCTTAATAAATATGAAGTCAAAAGAAATGTCGAGCTCGTTTTTGATCCTCCGAAACTATGTTTCAAAAAGGAAAGAAAATTTTTAGCGAAATAGATACAAGCAACCTAATTGTTGAGGTGAAATTTACTTAGGACAATTCTTTACCTGGCTTATGAAAAATGCCGGCAATTTAGGACTAGTAAAAATACCTTTGTCCTTAGGAGACAAATTGTTTAATTATACTCAAGTAGATAAATTTAAAGAAATAGGTTCCAAAGTTCTAAAAAACTTAACTATTGCATTAACTCCGGAGGTTATGCATGTGACAAATATTGAAAAAATTAAAAATATTCTTCACAAATATCACGAAGATCCTGTTAAATGTGGTCACCCAGGAATCAATCGTACGACCATCAAAATAAAACAAAAATATTACTGGAAAAATATGAATAATTATATTAAAAAATATATCAGGAAATGCATTAACTGTAAGAAAAATAAAATCAATACACACCTGAAAGAACCAATGACAATAACGGAGACACCGCCAAAAGTTGTTGATATAGTACAGACCGATACAGTTGGACCATTTCCTAAATCTTTAAACGAAAACAGATATGTAGTCACCATTGTATGTGATCTGACTAAATATTTAATTCCAATCCCAATAAAAAGCAAACACGAAAAAACAGTTGCTAAAGCAATATTCGAAAACTTCATTCTAATTTATGGATGTATGAAAACAATTATAACTAACATGAGAACCGAATATAAAAATATTTTATTTGAAGAATTTGAAAATTGAGCATATAAAACCTCAACACCTTACCATCATCAAACTTTAGGCACGGTTGAACACAGTCATAGAACATTCAATGAATATGTGCGTTCCTACATATCCATTAATAAGGACGATTGGGATGAATACCTTAGATACTTTTCGTATTGTTACAATACAACACTTTCCTCGGTCCATGGTTGCTGTCCTTTCGTACTATTTTCTGGAAAAACAAGAAAACATAGTTAGCCCAGTATATAATAAGGCATATGACAAAGAAATAATATATATGTTACAAATAGCACAGCAAAGACAAAAAATTAATTATGATAGAAGTATTCTAAGTAAGGAAATAAATATAGGAGATTTAGTACTAGTTAAAGACGAAACAGGTCATAAATTAGATAGTAAATACAAAGGGCCCTATAGAGTAGAATAATAATAGATAATGAATATAATTATACCTTACGCAGTAAAAATAAGAAAGTTATAGTACATAAAGATAGGCTTAAATTATTAGAATAAGAACATTTAACTTTTGTTAGCATAAATATAAAACTTTAAATTGATTGTTCATTTAATTACTTCATACAAATATACTGCATGAATTAAAAAACAAATAAACAATGCCCGCAAAACAACTAAAAAGTAAACTCAGCAATTATTCATAAGTAAACATTTAAAAAAAAAAAAGTAAAATAAACAAATTCAAGTAACTTTAAAATTATGTCATAAAATTTAATTGAAATAGAATGCTCATACATTGACCTCACAAATGTATAAGCATTCTTCCAAAGGGAGGAGGTGTAGGGTATCAGAAATACATATTTATATTCCCAAACGAGCCAAAAGTGTAATGAACCTATTTGGTAACTAACGTAAACAAATCGAGGCTCAAAATGTTGCCCGCGTGTATTTCTGCTAACACTGCATTCTCCCATAAGCATGTTTCGCTAAGCTAAACCAATATGCATATAATATAATAATATCTTTATTTAGAAATTTAGAATTTCCATTAAAAACAGCATTACATAGTTTGAATAATATGATTTCTCAATGAGGTTTGGAATTTAAACATAGTTTCTTGATTTTCAACATGTGAAGGAAGAGAGTTGAAAATTTGTATACCCTATAAAATAAAGAGTTCTGACTACAGAATTTAATTGAATTCGTTAAATAAATTTGGTTAGAATTTCTTAAACTTATAGCATGGTTTTTGTTTTTGAATGTGATTCTACAAGTAAGTTATTCTGGAGCAAGTCCATTTACAATTTCAAAAATAAATATTAACGTTCTAAGAGTAATTAATTGTTGAACGCTCATTAAATTTAATTTATTTAACATAATATGACTTTCCGTAAAGTTACTGACTTTCAATACTTGTCTTAAGCATTTGTTCTGTAGTACCTGTAATCTATTTAAACCAGTAATATTTGGAAGAAACAATACAGTTGCACAATATGTGAAGTGTGGCTCAATTATAGATTTATACAATGTTAGTTTTTGATTCATGTTTAGCTTGTTTCGTAATCTATTTAAAACATTTACTCTAAGGCCAACCTTTTTACAAACGTACCCAATGTTCTTGTCAAAAGCAAGTTTTTCGTCAATGATAATGCCCAAATATTTGATTTCATTTTCAATATCTAATCTGATTCCATTTTTACAAATACTGATACTGTTCTTGTTTATATTCTTATTAGTGATGGCCATAACTTTAATTTTAGAAACGTTTAATTTAAGTTTGTTTGGCGCAACTTCATATATAGTGTGTTTAGATCGTAATTTAGCTTTGAGGAAGCTTCTTCTATAGTATCTGCAATAATGTAAACAAGAGTATCATCAGCGAATAATCTAGCCTGACAATGTTTTAAGCAACTTGTTAAATCATTAATACAAAGAATAAACAGTAGAGGAGAGAATGGCACCTTGTGGTACTCCCATATTATTACATAATTTACTTGAGAAGACTTCTCCATATTTTGATACAGGAGGTTAGAGAAATTAAAAGTACATCGTTTCGAAAAGGATATAGGTACTTGCTTTATGTTTTCTCGTTTATATTCAATGAAAAGCAAATTTGCTAAGTCTGAAAGAAGCTCAGAAAATTCGATAAGGCCAAAATAGTACGAATTTTTAATAAAGATCGAATCCCTCTGATTCGTATGGGGTTTGCTTTACTTTAAACAGGCAAAATGTTATATTCAAAAGTTTGCGAAATACTTGAAGAAAATGGCTATAAGAAGCTTTTTCCTCTTCTGTAAAATTTGTAAATTCCCCAACATCAGAGTGTCGATATATTCAAAAAAGAAAGAGAGATCCGATAAGAGAATGTACTCAAACTGACATTTTTACTTTTCAAAATTCAGGAGCGGTTTAACGAATTCGTATTGAAAAATAATTCACACGAAAAATTAACAAAAAATACAATATTTGTATATATGTATATATGAGACACACTGCAGCCGCTGTGGTGGCAGAGGATAAGGGTAGCAGTTACTAAAGGACTCAGCATCAGTTGGCATTTCCAGTTGGCGCCAATAAGCCCAGAACAGAAACGAACGATTCGGCCAACTATCATATGCCACACAGCTTCATGTGTAAATAAGTTTTGTCTTTATGAAAAGCAAATTTGCTTAGTCTGAAAGAAGCTCAGAAAATTCGATAAGGCCAAAATAGTACGAATTTTTAATAAAGATCGAATCCCTCTGATTCGTATGGGGTTTGCTTTGCTTTCAACAGGCAAAATGTTATATTCAAAGGTTTGCGAAATACTTGAAGAAAATGGCAATAGGAAGTTTTTTCCTCTTCTGTAAAATTAGTAAATTGGGAGTTAGCAACTTTTCACTCTAAGCTAGCGATATGTATTATTCATATATGTAGTACTTCTATATTGCTAGTAAATTCAAAGTACATTCCCCAACATCAGAGTGTCGATATATTCAAAAAAGAAAGAGAGATCCGATAAGAGAATGTACTCAAACTGACATTTTTACTTTTCAAAATTCAGTAAAAGTATAGTTTTGAGAAAAACGAATTGGAAGTTTTTACAAACCATTACAAACCATACAAATACAATTTCGTTTTTCCGGTATAAATTAGTGAGCCAAAGGGATATTTAAGAAAACTGAAGATCTTTCTAATAGATTAAAGGATTGTCTATCCAATGGTGCAATTATCGAATAATAGTGTATGTGGCATTTACACTGTTTCTTTATTCGAGCGACGATATATGGTATTATTTAACTTGCTTTGTATGTATGTAGGTATGTATGTAAGTAAGTAAGTATCTATGCAAGTATGTTTGTTTGGTTCAAATCTTGCAATAAATTTTAAACCAACTTCCCCAATAGCTAGAAACTTAAAATTTCAAACTTACATTAATTTTCCGCTAGGTGGCACAGGAGTCGAGATATCTGAAAAACTCCGTATTTATATATATTCATATTTGAAATGTATATTACCTACACGAAGGGAAATAACCCCTAAAAAATGTAGCCGGTAGATGACGCAGGGGTCGAAATATTTCGAAAACCTGCATTTAGACTTTGGTTAAATTTATATTTATAAGATGATATTACTTAAACGAAAAGGAATAACTCCTTCGCCGGTAGGTAGCGCAGGACTCGAAACTTTTTTTGAACCCATATTTATGGTCCGATTTCGTTCTTTAGAAAGCTTGTTTTAAAAAGATTTTTTACTATTAACTTATTCATGCATTATGTATGTTTTAGATTTATCACTTTTCAATATTTTTCTGACAACACAAACTTGTAGAAAATTCGCACTAAAGCTAAGGGAGTCATCGGATAGCACTCTTTGATTATTGAATTTATGCTCGTAGCTATCGGATTCAGGGTTAGCATTTTCCTAGATTTCACCAAAATGGAACCTACGATGGATTCAGTGATAGCCACGAATATAGTCTCGTATTAAAAACCATGATAAAAATATAGTAAGGTAGAACCGCTGGGAGTCACTTTTAAAATTCTTGACGTTTCCAAACAATTTAATTTTTAAATTTACTCACAAACTCACACACACATTTTCATTTTCAATCTCAAGCAACAACAATTCGAACAATTTCAATTTTTTATTTTCACTTTTATATGATTTTAAAATGTTGGCAAACTTCAAAAAAAAAATCATGGCCGACAAATTGAGAGAACGGTTCTACCTTGCTATGTTTTTATCATGTTAAAAACTTTATACCCTGTTCTTGGCAACACAAATTATAGATAAACAAAGCCTCCTTCCATGCATTCATTATATTATAAATCGCTAGCTTAGAGTACAAAGTTGCTAAGTTGCAATTTAAAAATTAAACAGGAGAGGAAAAAAACCGCTTATAGCCATTTTCTTCAAGTATTTCGCAAAACTTTGAATACAACATTTTGCCTGTTTAAAGCAAAGCAAAACTCCATACGAATCTGAGGAATTCGATCTTTATTAAAAGATTTCGAACTATTTAGCCTTATCGAATTTTCGGAGCTTTTTTTTGCACTTAGCAAATTTTCTTTTCATTGAATATAAACGAGAAAATATAAAACAAGGACCTTTATCCTCGAAACGATGCATTTTTAATTTATGTAGCCTCCTGTATCGAAATATGAGTTTTCATAGAAAGTGGAGTTAGCAACTTTTCACTCTAACCTAGCGATATGTATGTATATCACATGCTAATATTCATATTAAAACTCTAATACCATTTTACTTATAGGCGCTCAAGGACGGAGTATTTGATGTGTTACCAGATAATTGTATGAACAGTTTAACTGCTGAAGACTTACGCTTGCTTTTAAACGGTGTTGGTGACATAAATGTCTCTACGTTGATATCTTACACAACATTCAATGATGAATCCAGTGAAGGATCTGATAAACTATTGAAATTTAAAAGGTGGTTTTGGAGTATAGTTGAGAAAATGAATTCATCAGAGCGCCAAGATTTGGTATGGATGTTTTTTCACTTTAAATAATATTTCATAACGATTTTTGTACTCATCCTAAGGTCTATTTCTGGACGGGCTCACCAGCATTGCCAGCGTCAGAAGAAGGATTTCAGCCTTTGCCATCGGTAACAATAAGACCAGCTGACGATTCGCATTTACCAACGGCAAACACATGTATATCAAGGCTGTACATACCATTATATTCGAGTAAAACGATTTTGCGTAGCAAGGTGCTTATAGCTATAAAATCCAAGAACTTTGGCTTTGTGTAAATTTAAAATCAATTGGTTTTACCAGGTTCAGAGTAAAATATCAAAAATTACATTCATGGTTTAAAAAATTTAAGACATGTTGTCTTATCTTTCATGACATACCCTATGTATCATAAGGATAAAATTTAAATTCATTATAAAACATGCAGATCTGATTTCAGTTCAATAAACTATAACAAAAATGTGGACATCTCGTACAATCGAAGAAATATACTCAAGTGCGGTCGTCGTAAGCGGTTGTGTTTTAGTTGAGATCCGTATTTTGGGAGATTTCGGTGAGAAAACTATCTGCTCAAAACACAAATCAATGGCACTCTATTAATTATAACTGCGAATTTTACAGAATTTTCAGTTGTTAAAATGTTGATGCTTTTTAAACTTCGATTGAATCAACAAGTTAAAATAATACCGAGCCCTGCATTTAGATGCTCTAGGAATATTTCTGCATCAAAAAGATAATTTTGAAAAAAATGTCGCTTACGTTATTTTGGCGGTTAGGGCTCGATACGGTAAAATGTGTTAAAGAGACATACGTTTTCGCCGAAGCTGAGTAGAGAGTATTATTGCTCGTTTCATAGTTCTTCAAAAGATCTTCCGAGAACTTTGAAAGATAATAATAATAATAATCCCAACGATCTTTACCCTTATTTCCGCACATCCGCACGAGGGGCGCAGCCCGCATGACGTACGGAACCAGTATTTTGAATTTTTGCGCCGAGTCACGATAGTTAGTTAAGTGTCGAGATCTAAAACTGTTTAGCTACAGAACTAAATTCATCAGCTGATTTTATGTCTTTATGTTAATAATTCATTTATTGAGAGAGGAGAGTACTGCTTTCTTAATACTGAAAAGCGGATCTGATACATCAAACGTTGGATTTATAAAGCTTTACATCATCTGCATACATTAAAATTTTGGAAAATTTTACATCTGTGGAAATATGGTTCCGATTATATCTATTCTACATTTCGATCGTAGTTCCGTTTTTCTAAGTTGCAAATTTGTTGACGGAGAACGTTTCGATTGTTATTTTCGTGGGTTTAAATAATAACATTTTATAAAAGTCATCATAAAGGAATTTTCTCGATTTCTGTGTTTTCGCGAGCGGTAATACGGGCAATACGAAAAATTGGCTCAAATAATGGCAACCAAAAGGGATATTGCGCGAGGGTTCCAAAGAGGAAGCACAGGCGCTTTTGTTTTCAGTATCTATAAATAAGACTGTGAAATGCACTGAATGCAATTCATTCTTTGTATAAAAAATTAATAGAGGTATGTACATATATATATATATATATATACATACATAAAATGTGAAGTTACATAAAAAAGGTGCTTTTATTATTGCACTCGTTTATACAAACTTTTTAAAAAGATGTGCGTATGTTGTCTCGAATTCGATTTGCTATGGAAGGATAAGCTTTGTTCTTGCCCTCCTCCTGGCGGATTTCAAAATGGAATTCATTTGCGTTCAAATGTTCAACTCTGTAGTAAATGCAAATGTTGTGGAGTGCTCAAACAACGTTTATAATTTCACTGCCTTTGAGCGGTGAGTAATACAGTTCATGATGAGTTTATGACTCTTCACTCATCTGAAAAAGATCAAACATGTCCCTAAATCTGCGCCTTTCAACTTCCGCATCAGCAATCTGGGACTCGTTCTCCTCTTTGAGTTACAGTGATGCTAGATATATTTAGTTATTTTAAAATATTTACAAACTTTAACTTCATAAGCTGCTATAGGTTGGTGGCAAATATTTCTTTGTTTTGTTTCGATTTCACACATTCCTAGGCAGACAGCTGATTTCGAAAGATGTTTTCTCTCTTCCTCTTTCGATTCGATCGTAACGCAGAATACCTAAGTTCGATTCTCGCGGAGCGGAATGCGGGAACGTAATCGACACGTAACCGACGACAGGAATTTAAGTGTGTTCTGTCCAATTCACAAGAAAGGCGACCCCGCCATCCGCGCCAACCTCCGCGGGATCAGCCTTCTAAGCATAGGTTATAAGGTCTTATCGAGTGTATTGTTTGAAAGACTGAAGCCCACCGTCAACGAACTGATTGGACCTTATCAGTGTGGTTTCAGACCTGGCAAATCCACCGTAGACCAGGTATTCACAATACGTCAAATCTTGGAAAAGACCCGCGAAAAAAGGATCGACACTTACCACGTATTTGTCGACTTTAAAGCCGCTTTCGACAGCACTAAAAGGAGTTGCCTATACGCTGTTATGTCTGAATTTGGCATCATGGTGCCACTCGCCAACATTTTTGTCTACCAAAATCTCTTAAATATATGTAGGTAGGTGTCGAAATACATGTCGGTAGATGGGTCTGTAAAAAGCACGCGTAATTTTTTTTCCGGAATAATCAAAAAGATCTATGGACCTTACCAAAAATTGCCAGATAGCCAGTAATAAAATGTGTGAGGGTATAATTCAAAATTTATCGCAAAAATTCGAAAGTGGTTTTAAAAGTGCAGCCCTTGGTGCTGCCACTGTAATTCAAATATTTCCAGTATTCGAATATGAGATGACTATAATTTAATCGAAGTAATTTTGTAAAAGTGTCAGTAGTGCTGCCACTGAAACTCGAATGGTTTTTATAATTACGCACATTCAAAAGATAATTCATTTCTTTCTAGTAATGCAAATAGATATTTAGTTGCAAAAGTTACCAAAATGAAATAAAAGTTACCAAGTTACCAAACCGTTTAAAAGTTACCAATTTTGGTAGAGAGTTACCAATTGTGGCAACCATGTTTGGCATCCCCGCCAAACTGATACAGCTGTGTAAAATGACGTTGAGCAATACCACCAGCTCCGTCAGAATTGTGAAAGATCTCTCCGAGCCGTTCGCCACTAAACAGGGTTTCAGACAGGGCGACTCCCTTTCAGGTTACTTCTTTAATCTGATGTTGAGGAAGATAATAAGAGCTGCAGAACTCAACCGCTCAGGAACAATTTACTACAAGAGCGTGCAATTGCTGGCGTACGCCGATGACAGCGACATCATCAGTAACAAGAACCGCGAAGTCTGTTCTGCCTTTTCCAAGTTGGATAAGCAAGCAAAGCGATGGGTCTGGTGGTAAACGAGCACAAGACGAGGTATCTCCTGTCATCAAACAAACAATCAGCACATTCGCGCCTTGGCACCCATATCACTGTCTGTTGACAGTTATAATTTCGAGAAAGTAGAGAATTTCGTTTACTTGGGAACCAGCATTAACACCGATAATAATGTCAGCATGGAAATCCAAAGCATAGTCACTCTTGCCAACAAGTGCTACTTTGGACTGAGTAGATAATTCAGGAGTAAAG